GAAAATATTAGTATTTTTCAAAATGAATTAAATACATTAAAGGACGATTTACTGTCTTTTATACAGGGAGGATATATTAACCATGGACCTAATCAGCCCCAGACAACAGGAAGCCCTTCCAGATCCCGCAGCTAAATCCTAATGCAGATATCTTCAGTCCTGCCAGAAGTCACATTCCAGACACGAGTGTCAGCAATAGAGGTGATCTAGTATGAAGGAAGCCATAGGTTTAGGACGAGAGTCCATGCTAAAGGGGAGAGCCTGCAAGAGCTGGCACAGGATTTGGAAAGAATGGCACACAAGGCCTACCCAACTGCACCACCCAACGTCCTCAAGCTGCTGCTGAGGGATCAGTTTGTAGATACCTTGGACAGTTCACAACTGAAGATACAAGTAAAGCAAGCACACTCCTCTACTATGCAGGTTGCAATGGCCAGAGCTCTTGAATACGAATCCTACGTTAAGTCCAGCACAGAGGTACCAAGGCTGGTACAGTCATCAGGATTCAAGGCCAGAAAAGGGCAGCTTTCAGAGAGGTTTGAGGGTCTTTCCTGGTACTGTAACAAACCTGGGCACAAGAGAGCCCAATGCCGGCAACTTCAACACAGGGAAGATTCCATGGCAGGAAAGGCTGCTACCCAGAAAGGTTGTTGGAACTGTGGAGAGCAAGGATATATGAGGAGCCAGTGTAAGAAGAATAACACCAATAAGTCAGCCTCGGGGAAACCAGTAGTGGTTGGTGTTGAGGGATGCCCACCAACCCCCCACCGTGAAAGTCCCAACAGCTAGGTGTAAAATGCCAAGCACACATATTGTCTACGTGACAGGATAGCTGGATGACCAAAAATGCAACTTTGTCATAGATTCTGCATCTCAGCAAACCCTTGTGAGTATCAATATGCTAGATCACAAAGGAGTACCAGAAGCCATACAGAACCTCTGTGGTGTGACGACATTATGCAACGTTGTGGGTAACTATTGACCTCATGAGTGTAAAGGATAGACTCAAAGAATACTTGGCTGACATTAAAAACCAATGCATATTAGGGTTGGACTACTTACTACCGAGTAAGTGTGTAGTTAACTTTGATAAAATGACGTTTAGGAACAACAAAGGCCAAATTTCGGTAAGTGTTAAAAGAGAGGTTGGACGAACCAGGTGCCATCAAGCTGAAGTCAAAGTAACTGAAGGAATTGATGATGGTGAAGTGGAACCAAGTAGAGATATTCAAGCAGAAGAGGAGAAAGACCAAGATTTTAAGCCAATAATTGATTATCTACAAGCAAGTGTTTTGTGCCCTGCTTGGGAGAAGGTGTCTAGCTTAAGCCCTGTGACAAAGAACTATTGGGCACAATGGAACCAGTTGAAGCTCGAAGATGGTATTCTTCTCCAGAGATGGGAAAGTTACGACCTGGCAAACAGTTGTACCGAGAAAGCTACGGGAAGTTGTGTTGCA